ATCCAATGGTCGGGCAGAGCTTGCTGTCAAAACGGCAAAGAGAATCGTAAATGGCAACACAGGAGCCAAAGGATCGTTGGACAATAATCGTGCAGCAAGAGCCATCCTTCAATACAGGAATACGCCCATTCAAAACATTGGGCTCAACTACTACTCCACCGCCGACTACGTGACTACATACCATCCCACCCCACACTCTATAAGCCACATGCGAATTGGATAACCGCAGCCCAAAATCACGAGATAAGTCTGTCCCGAGCGATACAACAGAACAGCACACACCTTAAACCCCCTTCAAAAAGGACAAATAGTGGCACTACAACGACCAACAACCCGCCGATGGGACTCAACAGGTCAGGTCAATGAAACCCTCCCCAACCATCAATACCGTATCAGAGTTGATGGATCAGGTAGAATTACCTTACGAAATCGCCGATTCCTCAGGAAACTGGGTACACCTACAATTCCAGTTCCCAGACCTAGTGCCTTACCTGAGACCCCTACACCAGTGCCACAAACATTCGACGCTGGAATAACATCGAACACTGCTCAGTCGTCTACAATAACACGGACAAAAACCCCTCGGGCATTGTCCAGACTACTTCCGCACAACCAGCCAGGTTTAAAGGAAATCATCCCTCCCCAAAGGCCACTACCAACACGCGATGGTGGGGGGGAGATGTAGAATAACAATAATAAACAGCACTTACCGGCGTAAAGGTTCCAGCTAGCGTCCAGCTGGCAGACAAAAATAAAGCAGGTTGTAACTTAATACAAACCCTGCAAACTAACTGATGAATCAAGCTGGTATTTATATAGAAATACCTCCACTCAGGTACCAGCAGCCAATCACAAGCAATGGACTATCCCACTTTAGCACAATGAGATGCTGCATGGCAACATAAATAGCTCTCTTTCTAAAGGTTGGATTATTATTCACTTAGCTTGCTCCACAACTGAGTGTTTATCTCTACCATGTGATTTTTCAACATTTTCGATAAAGAGACCAGGGTGGTTGCCGAAATAACATTTACGATTCGTCTGTATAAATGGGCCAGGAAAAACCATCTGTTTGAATCAGCCACCCAGAAGAGAATAGAGATATAGACCGGCTTGAGGCGTTCGTCATTATAATTTCTGTGACATGCGTCCAGAGGAAATTTTTATTTCCAAATATTAATTAGTATTTCTTTGGATACAAGTGATAAGGAAAAATGAATTACTATTTTGAAGTGACCATGGACAAAAAGGCTGTTTCGTCTGTTGATCGTAAAAATGCATTGACAAAGAATAGATAAAAATTTCTTTTTATGGCGAGTGGAAATAATTTTCTGTTTTCCCCAAGTTTTGAGAACACTGGACGATCTAGAAATTGCAGCATGGAACAAGCTGATAAAGAAAGATTAATGATTGAAAATCTCTTTTGTTTTCGCTATGCCCTCTAGAAGTTGGAATCGTCACACCAGCCCTAGGAGCGGACTGAGGTTAGATACTAAGTAATTGGAAGGAATAGGAGATTAGCACCGCCTATATGGAGCGATGGTGCGAGGTGAGACTTGAAGAGAGTTTGAGTTTAGGTGCGGCTTGATTCCTCTGACCTCTCTCAAAACGGGGCTGGAGAACCCCAAATTTGGAAAACCGCTTGAGTAAATGTATTTTTATATATGGACATTTTGAAAGGGTTGATGATTATAGCAGAAGACAACTGAACTCAGACCCTAGTCAATTGCAGCTCTGTCGGACGCAAGACTCCATATAAGCCGTAGGTTTGGACTGCTTAGAGAGTCCCCACACTATTGCTACAGGAATCCACATCATTTGCCGAGACCTCCTGACCAAAACTTTGTGCGGGACCTGAAGACCAGAACTTAGCAATTTAAGTTATTACTAATACAAGCTGCAGGTTTCAGTGTACTGGCGTTGTTCAAACTGCTTATCACGCCAGATCATGCGTAAGTAAAGACCGCTCAAATGGGGCTGAGCAGGCACCTGTAACATGGATTATCTATTCGCACTACATAGGGGTGTGCTCGGAATACGAATAGCCAGATAATATATATATATATATATATATATATATGTGTGTGTGTGTGTGTGTGTGTGTGTGTGTGTGTGTGTGTGTGTGTGTGTTCATGCGCACGCGCACAAGATCTAGCTATTTTGGAAATATAGAGAACCAGTGATGAGGTTTTGATACAATTTGGCATCCAATCAATCAAATGAAATAGTGTACTGCGTAACTGTCGCAATCATAATGCCTCAGAGAGGCTTCACGCCTCGTGCACTGTTGACAAAACAACGCAAGTCTGTCTATATTTGACTCCCAGTGACTTGTAGCTTTTACAAAAGTAAACCCGTCAGTGATCTAGATTAAGAAGAACGTCATGAAGCAGCTGATGGCGATCCCGAAAGAATTTACAGACTGTTTTCAAAAGTAGAATTGGTAGATATGGATATAAAGAAAATACGTTGGCGCCATTCAACTTGTTCACATAATTTATCTTTACAAGGAGCAGAATAAACCTGAAATGGAGTACTGCCGCCATATGTAGGTTAGAGATGCTCAATCCTCACTTTCAAACTTTCACAGAGTTATGTTTCCATGGTTTTGTGAAGGGGGACTTATTCTCCACAATGCAGACTCTTTCCCACAGACTCCACTCCTTAGCACTACTAGTTCAAACCATTACAACTATTACACGAATTCGAGTAACACTCGGATTCCTTCGTATTTCAAATGCAAGAAGAAACTCAGACATTTTTTCTCAAGAAGCGCTACTTTGCGGAACAGACTCCCGCATGAATGCTTCGGTGAACGCTACAATAGTAATGTCTTCAAGTCAAGTTTCATCGTAAACATTTTAACAGTGATCCTCTATCTTCAGTAGACTTCGATCCTTGTATTGGGTGAACTTTGGTATAAAAATATATTAAATAGATACTTACTTTCCGGTCGGACTTTATACGGATGGCCATAAGAACTTTTTCTTGCGTGTTTTGTTGCCGACTATTTTAACTGCATTATGAAATACAAGATACGAGTGGGTAAAGTTTGAGAAACATTAGACTAAAAATATATGAATATTTTACTGAAAAATAAATATTTGCCGTGTAAAAGAAATGCTTTCTTCAATTCAAATTCTTACTACGGATATATGGACTTACTTTCTATTATATATATATATATATATATATATATATATATATATATATATATATATATATATAAAGAGAGAGACATTAAATTTATAAGATTCATTGCTTCTTCCACGTTATTACTTATATATGTGCTCAGCAGATGTGACAAATCACTATGTTGCGTTTGATGAAATCTCCGACTTCCAAATATTTCATATCCCAGAACGTCAGAAAATACTTTGAAAGCCAGCGATTGCATCGAAAGCAAAAGTAGTGAAAGAAACAACAAAGATGAGGATATTCGACTGAATAAATCATGGATAATGTATTTTTATACCTACTTTTTACAAATTCGTCTCGTTTTTCCGTCTTTTCTTTTGTAACAGGTTTCTTTTCTTGTCGTTCAAGATACTCCATTCCGCCATTCTTTCAGCGATACTTGCACTTCCCCACATTGCAGCCCATCGCCACTTGTGAAACTCTTTTCCTCGCCTTTTTATCGCCATTTCCTATCTAATCTCTATTTATTTCATTCTATGACGCTTTGCTTCGTCGTCATAGTAGTCTATAGGAATTCAATTGAAAATTCATTGAAAAAAAAGAACAAACGCAACACAGTAATAACATGAAGATAGCAAAAGATTAGAATTCGGAAACCAAATAATAATTAAAAGAAAACTCACAAAAAAAGAGGAATGTTTTTTATTTTTATTATTTTCAGTTTTTCTGAGTTATAATCTAAACCAAAAGAAGAAAGATAATCTGTAATTTTATCGTTATTAATTTTGTTATTTGTAATGGGAAGCGTTGAGCAGCGAGATTTCACCTTCGTGTTCTTGTCTTTATTTTTTTATGAGAATTTATTGATGAATGCACAAGCAGGGAAGTGAGGGGGGACAGCAGAAGAGACAGAAAGCACGGTTTCATTTTAATTTTCTTTTCTTTATTTCTTTTTACTATTTTGAGTTTAACTTCTTGTTGCATGTCGTCTTTTGGTCATGGAAAAGTAGAAAAGATGGAGGCGGAACTGACGTTAGCATCCTCCCTCAACAGAAACCCTACCCCGAAAACACAGGATAATATTCGTTTGCCCCCAAACTAGAATGATTGAATAAACAAGATGGAAGACAGAATGCACGAAAGCAGCCGGGAAAATAGGAAAAAAAGTGCTGATGAAATTTTATTACATTTCTTACATTTCAATCTAGTCAAGAGCTTCCAACTTCAATACAATTACAAATAAATATACAGACATGATTGCATATATATATATATATATTCATTAAAAGCGGAAAATAAATTTTAATATATCTATCGGGCGGCATTTAAGCTAGATCCTGCGGAGGGCTCTTGATTGGACTTTCATCACAATAGGGTAGGGAGGATTGGATGCGATAGGCAACAATAAACTGTAGAACTAAAAATTAATCACTGCATTTAAGAATTGGATTAATATTTAAACTTACCTTTTAAAAGTTCAACGATAATTCTTCTGTTGACACTTAATTTAAAGACCATTTGATGTACGTAGGTCCTTACTTTCCGTATAAACAATTATTTTTATTTCATGGGTGACTTTCGTTGGATTTCGAAATTAATTTCGATTATTCTCAAATTTATAAAAATTGTTATCGTACAAAAAATTCATCTCAAAAACAATTCGGAAATTTTGGGAATCCTAAATTTCTGGATTGCGTGTCCGGATCCGACTCGGAATGTTTTTCATTTAGCCAAGGAATCGACCTAATTCCAAAATGGTACGATGTTAGGCTACGGCCTCTAGGAGTAAAGTTGAAAAAGTGTGACACACTGACATTTGCATTTATTATATAAATATGAGTGGACACTGAGGTTATATTTACATGCGCTATATATGTATATAGATAGAGAGAGAGAGAAAAGAGAGAGAGAGAGAAAAGCGAGAGAGAGAAAAGGAGAGAAAAAAGAGAGAGAGAGAAAAGGAGAGAGAAAAGCGAGAGAGAGAAAAGGAGAGAGAAAAGGAGAGAGAAAAGAGAGAGAGAGAGAAAAGAGTGCAATTATTCGTGTGTAAACGAGTATATACATGCTTACATATACAGAAGTCTTGCCTAGATACACAATCAGTACATGCATAAATAACCATAGAAGATATATTAGGGCTTTAATTTCTGTATGTACATAAATATGTGCATTTATTCTTACGTTTACGTATATACATATATGTAAAAATAACATTTATTTATATCTGCATATATTTTAATAGATATCTTATCGGACATTATTTCTTATTACTACAAACTTTATTTTTTAATGTGTACACGTATCTGATTGACTATACCTGCATTTTTATTTTCCTAAACAGTGAAATTAATAACAACCTGTCTAGACTGAGAAGTTCTACATTAAAATTTCTCTCGGAGGCACAATCTTTCTTTAGTAAGATTAGACTTATAATATTTATCCTTATCAAAATTATTGATAACTTGTTTTGGGGTATCAAATTTCTCGATTCGGTATCTAAGCTCATGGTATAACTCCTGTCTTTATGATAAGTCTCATAGGTTTGATAAGGTCAAACTGGCAGCTGATCTCAAATATGACCTTCAATCTGTTGTTAACTAGGGCAAAAAATGGCTTGCTAATTCAACGCCTCCAAAACAAAACTAATTCATTTTAACTATTAGAGAACCTTTTTTGTTTTCCATCAACATAACTGTTGCTAACATCCAGGAGAATTTTCTACTGACATGAAATGAAACGATTATATTGAATCAACTGCCATGTTTGCTGCTAGAAAGTTGGTTCACATTGTCGTGCCAGACAATTTTTCTCGACAGAATCTAGCTTATACATTTATAAGTCTACAGTTTGTCCATGCAGTCACATCTGGTCTGGTACTTCTGCTATGTATCTGAAAATTCTTGAAAAACCTAAGAAGAATCTACAATATTATTGGTCCTGACCTGGCATCTTGGTTTAAATAACTTTCCCATCGGTGTAATGTAGCTTTCCTATGGCTTTTCTGTAAATACTTTCATGATCACTGGTCTAATGAGCTTTCTTTTTTGGTACCGCGATTTACAAATTTAAACAAAGTATTAAATTGTCAGCTTGGTCTCATCATTTTACATTTACAGTTATGGTGAGATGTAACTTTTAGTTCTATGCTAACAGTTGCACTACTTGCGCATGGAACTCTCTTCCGGTTTCTTGACTTCTATGCCTTTTTTTTTATGATGGATCACAAGTTTTCTATTGGCAAAGACTGGCAGCCATTTCATTAATTTGCTATCTTTGAATCACTTTTTGGAAAAGTAGATAATAGCTAGCTTTGTATGATGCAGAAGAACATGATTTTGTTTGAATTTACGTTTATTACCTTTTTAATTTTCATCAGATATATAGTTTTCTTTGTTCTTATCTTGGCAATGCTTTCAATGTCTTTTTTTTATACATGTAATTTTGCAATATATTGTTTCTATTTGAGAATATATCTTTCATTCGATCCCGGGTAAAATGTGAAAATAAAAACTATCAATGACTATCCTATAATAAATACTTCTAATAAATATGAATAATATTTTAATTTTATATAATAATGTTATATTTAAGTAATATGTAAATATGTTATAAACTGAAATTCAAATAATACTCAATATTTTACAGAATATCCTGAAAATTTTACCGACATCGTGTGGTTAATACTATACTAATGTTATTGTAAAAAGATAAAATCTATAATAAAACGCCGAATCTAAAATTTTAGAATTTTTTTTAAGATCAAAAATTTTGAGTTTAAAATTTTTATCAAACGTATCTGAAAACAATCTAGCCTATGTTAAACTTAATGAGATCAGCTAGATTGTGTACATCTTCACATCTTCAGCATTCCCCCTCAGTACAAAAAGGGATACAAATTCAAAACAAACTTGATGAAATCATTAAAAAGAAAAAATATATTAACCTATTTCTAAAGCTAACTTTATCAACAATTCCGACTATATATTGACTGAACAACAAAAAGAAACACATCCACGCTGTGTGTAATTTCCAAAATTCCACAAAATACGAACGGAATAAAAAATATAATCGAAATTGAACTCCTCTACGAAAACTTCAAACTTTACAAAAGTTGAACCAAAAGTTGACAGTTTAAAGATTTCATGCAATTGCAACAAAGAAAACTTACCACATACAAAAATATTAAATCAGCTAAAATACCGCCATACAAATAACGAAATTACTGTAAAAAAAAAAGGACATCTGAAACGATAAAAAATAATTTAAAACAATACCCAGAAACACTGCCGATAATTTTAAAAACATAAATAAAATCTTATTGCTGCTAATAGCGCAGATATAGGATAATTGAAACCAGAGAATATTATTGGCGATTATAAACAAAGTTATATTTACGGTAAAAAATATTACAAATCTGGAACCTCACTAAGACCAATAGTCTCTCAAATTCCTACACCTGTTTATCAAAAAAAAAAAATCAACCAAATCATAAAGCCAAACATAACCTCTAAATACATCATAAATTACACATAAAAATTCATAGAAATTCTCAAAAGTAATAAACCAAATAGCGGCGTACTGATGTCATTAAACGGAGAAGAATTATTCAGCGATTTGTCAGTAAGATAATAGACATTATAATTAACAATGTCTATAAACATGTATAGCTTACGGAAAACCAATAATGCTCAAGAAATTACTACTAGTTATTTTTATTTACAATCAATTAGGATCGATACTCAAAAATACACAAGAATCGATGGTGTCACCAAGGGATCACCTATCTCTCCAACAGTAAAATCCCAGCAGCAAAGATTCCGACAAATCCTTATTAAATAACACGAAAATATTATAACACATAAACTATTAATAACATACAAATACTAGAAGCCTTAGCCATGAACACAAACAATTCTACATCAATAAAATTTCATTTAATATATGAACAAACATATATTTCGCAATTAATAACAATAGTAATAAAAAGCAGCACTACAGTCTTACATGACCAGCCAATATAGATAGATAGATACATAGATACATAGATACATAGATACATAGATAGATGCATACATACATCCATACATACATGCATCATGAATATATTGAATGTACGTTATAAAAAAAAATATATAAATCTCCATGTATGTGGGGGGAGTGTTTATATCTTCAGAGATTTTAAGTTTCACACAAGACAGCTATTAATATTTTGTTCACTGGTTATTCGCATCTATATATGCAAGTATAAAATAAAGGTTATACTCATTCTAATGTCTGCAAAATTCTATGCACAAGTATATGTATATAAAGGTGTTTAAATGCTTTTATACGTAAACATATACATACATATATATATATATACACACACACACATATATATATATGAATATATATATATATATATATATATATGTATATATATACACACACACATTCATATATATGCATGTACTAAGGTCATAGTTATGTTTGCTCGTATGCGTGTATGTATATACATCTTAATACTGAAATACTGTTGTGTGTATGTGTTTTCTTTTGCCATTTGCTAAAAATCTTTTTATATCTTCGACTTTACATTTTGTGTTTAAGATTCAAACAGTCTCTTTTTCCAAGTTAATCTTTCGCTCCATTTTCTTGTATATCTTCTTATTTTATTTTATCTTATTTTTACCTGAGGCTAAGAAAAAGCGGAATGAACAAATATATATTATATTACTTATTCGTTTGTTTGTTTTTTTAATGTATTCTTTATGCTAGCGAACTTGGAGCATTTTCGGTTGCAAACACTTTATTCATTTGTTTGTCATATTGTTTCCCCTTCGTTTTATTTCTCCATTTCCTGTTTTTGTATTTACCTGAAATGGCAGAAAGAGATTCCAAATAGAGAATATCAGAGTTCTATTTTCGAGTTAATTTTATCAGAATGTGAGAGCTTTTTACAATTTTTTAAAGATCAATTTTCCTTCTTCTTCAATCAATACTTATTCTTTCTTCAATTCATACCCTGTATTCTTTCCCCTATCTCTTAGTGTAAACCAGCCATTTTCATAATGTCATTTAGGCAAACTAGAAAACATGTCTTTTGTGACAGAATTTTTTGTACAGTCTATTGTGAATACCAAACGGTATTTGGTTGTGCGTACATCTATATGCTCGCTTTATGTATATATATATATATATATATATATATGTGTGTGTGTGTGTGTGTGTGTGTGTGTGTGTGTGTGTGTGTGTGTGTGTGTGTGTTTTTGGTCACGTAAGTAAATATTAGTAAAATATTCTATTGTAAACATTTTAATACATAAACTTTATGAATGTTTTTGCATTTTCTTTGCGTATCTATTTGCAAAGTATAGAAAAAATACATGTCACATTAAACAAAATTATATATATATAATTATATATATATATATATATATATATATATATATATATATAGGTAGCAATACTTCATTTATACATTGTACCATTTATGTCGTCTTTATGTAATACACACACACACACACACACACACATATATATATATATATATATATATATATATATATATATATATATATATATATATATATATATATAGCTACATCCGACCGTAAAACCTGCACGGGCATTATTATTTATATATATATATATATATATATATATATATATATATATATATATAGATAGATAGATAGATAGATAGATAATATTAGTGGTCAATATACATATATATATATATATATATATATATATATATATATATATATATATATTCCCAAGAGGATAGAATCAAGGTAGAACTCCATGTCCAGGACAGAGTAAGAATATAATATAAAAGGCTCAAACACTAATATTCCATGGTTATAATTTATTACATTGGATTCGTACTAACGATCCAATTCATCAGACCTACAAATTTTATATAATGCACAGGCATTACTATTATATATATATTATAAACTATATATATATAAATATATATATAGTGTATAGTATATAATAGTAATGTCTGTGCTGGTTTTAAAACCGGATGCAGCTTATATATATATATATATATATATATATATATATATATATATATATATATATATATATATGTTACATTAAAAAAAACACAACACTGCATCGGTCCTCACCACAAACCACATTGCCCAGAGATAAGCAGCTGCAAGATATCTAGTGTGATCATGAGGCAGGTTTTCTATCAGAGTTTCCTTCTCCTAGGAGACTGCCAGAAGGCTTGGGAGGTCTCACCCTCAGTGGGCTAACCGCGCGTCTGGATACCAGCCAAAATATTTTTATGGACTCGTGCAGAGATAGCTCGATGGCCATTGATCTCTCAAAGAGGTTCATCCGCCCTTTGACAGATCTTGTCATTGTCCTGCAGGGATTCTAGCCTCCCTCTCATAATAAATACACACACACACATATATATATATATATATATATATATATATATATATATATATATATACATACATACATATATATATATATATGTCCCTTTTGTTTTTATTTGTTTTTGTGCATATATATATATATATATATATATATATATATATATATATATAATTTGAAGTAATTACATTTAAAATAAGACCCATCAAAGAAATGAACTAACTGTTAACTGTAAACACAGCTATAAATTTAACTTACTGTAGGGGTTGTAATACTTTAATTGATAAAGATATGTTACTGTAAGTTTAGTAGGTTATTACTTTTATTACCTGATGGTCCCCCTGTTCATTTGGGTGTGTGTTGGTGTACTTGTATTGTGTTGTTCGTGTCTGCATATGTGTGTGTTTGTGTGTTTTTTACTAATATATATATATATATATATATATATATATATATATATATATATAGGTAAGTTTTTTTGGCAGGGTATATATATATATATATATATATATATATATATATATATATATAGTTGAATATGTATGTGTTTATGTGTATATACGAATATATCTGTACTTATAGTTATATGTATATATATGTGTGTGTGTGTACTTGTATATGTCTATATGTGGATGTATACATATGGGTATTTATACATGTTTATATATATATGTGGATGTATATGCGTATGTCTTCGTATGTGTATATATATTTATAGTTAGAATCGAAAAGGGTTATGAACAATCCTGCTTGTAGACAAGCCGTATAAAGCCGTGTACAAGCCTACAAGCAGGATTGTTCATAAGCATTTTCGATTCTTACCCGTCGAAGTGCAGTTGAAATGCACTGAAACCAAGTTGCATCTTTGTAGGTACCCAGCGTTGCGCGGGTGCACATATTGCAGTTGTATAACCTCACACTCCCTGTCTAGAAATGTCTGCCTGCGTTCCCACTTGCATGCATCATCCGTTGATATACTAAGCTACTCCCCCTCATCCATTTTACGGTATGTCCTTTGCAAGTATTTGATTGTTCTTAATAAAGGATTTCCATCGATAAAACCTTCTTGTGTGGTTGTTCGTTGCTCGGGGTTAAAATTTTTCAATGTTTTAGATATTCAGTAAATTTCCTACCGCCGTAATAACTTTCAGATAGTATGGCATTGTTCATAAATCTAATAATCAAACAAAAACAGGGATGGAGCGTCAGAGCTTGATTCAACTGTAGCTACAAATGCATGGACGCCTTCTCCTTTTCACATGTTTACCTTAAAACTAGAGTTAATAAGAGTTTCTTTCGGGAATTCTTCCCTATTAAGGGTTCAATAATCCTTCGCAAACATTCTTGTCTTCATATTTTTTGGAATGCGAATTTAGGATGGAATCATTTGAAGAAACGTTTGTGGGCCTAGTCTGTCACAGATTTCGTCCACTTAACTGAAATAATCTAAACCAAATATTCACACAAGACAATTTGAGTGTCTTATATCATTTACATGTCAAATTGGGAAAGCATCGGATGAAAAACCAGGGATTTCTGGCCGGAAAACCGGCTCTTAACAGTTTTTCGAGGATTTTCGTTATACAAATAGATTCTCGTTCCGCTGTCCACGTTGAACTCACAATTACTATGTCACTAAATTAACGAACCAACTGTTATTGTTCTATAGGACAATTCTGAGTGGAAGACTTGGAAACAAGTTCTCCCAAACTATTGGCTTATACCTGGCCAAAGTCGTTTATATGCAAATAGTCAGCGCCACCTACTCTAAGTAGAAAGTCTTCTCTCAACAGCCCATTGTAGAAGGGGACGCAACTCCTGGTGCTTATAGCACCACATACAACCAACTCGGAGTCTTTTATCGAGCTGACCCGATTCACTGTTACAACCTTAAATCTTACTTCTCTGCTGATGAGTGCTGCTGTGGTATTTTCATCCTTCACTGCGCTCCTAGAAGGTTCACTTTTTGCTGTTGCTGCTGATGTTGAATCATTTGTGTCACGTCTGTTTTTTTTTTTTATTTATTAATGGCCCCCATATCGATATGGGAACCAGTAACGGTGATTTTAATCCTTGAACCGGGTAGTTTCTATTTGGACTCAGTGGAAAATGGCGAGCGATGACTGAGTCGAACTAAATAAGAACTACGCGTAATTTACCTGGACATAGAGAGGAGAACTACTCACGTAGATTAAAGGATTCAGTTCTAAATTCTCTGAAGGTTACCTGGATAGACGACCACCTGATGATGGCCGAAGGACACAACGGTTGAAATACTGTGATGACAGCAACAAAGATGGTGGCAATAAACCGCATGTAAATAATGTAAATAAAATAGTATCCAGTTGAACAAATGTCACGGAGTTGGAGTGCATAAAATAACAAACCAAGGATAGCCAAATGTAAAAATTTTCAGGACGGCTTTGATAGATAGATAGATAGATAGATAGATAGATAGATAGATAGATAGATAGATGGTGATTGAAAAGTAACTCCCTATTTTATGTATGACGTGCTCTCCCGTCTTGTAAATATTAGAGTTATACAGGAGAGTCCATCATACATAAAACAGGGAGCTACTTTTCAACCATCTGTGTGTATATATATATATATATATATGTGTGTGTGTGTGTGTGTGTGTGTGTGTTAGGATCAAATATAGATCGTATATGGATCAGGATCCGACGGAATGATAAAGTAAAAATAACAGAATTTCTTTTTGTCCATATCTCATTCTCTGATGAAGCTTTAATAAAGTGAAATATGTTAGATTGCTAAACGTTTCCTATTTGTTTTTATCTTATCGCACACACACATACACGTATATATATATATATATATATATATATATATATATATATATATATATATATATACGCGTGTGTATATATGTGCATATGCATGTATTTTTACCGTAGTGTTTTGGTTAGCAAATATCTTTTCGCCCAAAAGTAGTGAGTTTCAAGATCTCTGGCTCCACCATCACATTCGTATTGTACCAGACACAAAAATAACTATTATTATTATTATTATTATTATTATTATTATTATTATTATTATTATTATTATTATGCTAGAACAATGTAAGGTAAATGAAAAATCTGATGTCAGAGCGATTGAGCTCCAAGCGCTTCTTAATCAGGTTATTATTATCACTAATGTTATTATTTTAACCTATTCTGTTTTTTTTTTCAAAGATCCTTCTAAATCAACCGCTAAATGGTTAATATTCACCACGGATATATCAGTCGAACATTTTTACTGATATCAACAAAGTACAAAAAATGTTGAAAAGGGGAACTGGAAGTTTTTTCTTTCTGTGAGGTGGTGAACATTTATCCATTTTTTTTTTTAATTTTAAAAAATTATTGACTGTAAAATGAAATTTTGAAAGGTGGGAATCTATCAAACTTTTCTTCATTGCTTTTCCAACTTCATATATGGCTGAATGTGGTTTCAACGAAGTTACACAGCTTCTTACTAAACAAAGAAACTGCCTACAAATTGCAAAACAAGGAGATCTACGATTACTTCGAAGCATCATGGAACCTAGAGTAAGAAGCTTAGCCTTATTGAAAACACTGAGATAAGCTATCAAATAAAAGTGTTTTTAGCATTTTAGTCGTAGGCATTTGTAATGGGAGTGAAAACATTATTCAGATTATTTTTTTGCATTTATACATAAGTTTTATCTTGCTATGAATGGTGAATTAAATATAATATTCGAAATTTAATTTGACAGGGGTTCGTAGACAAAAGGTTTATGCCCAAAGAGAGAGTTGGTTGAAAAAAGGTTGGGAAACTGGTCTAAACCATAAAACGGACATAACAATTTGGGAAGGAGAAAACTTAATAATACATATATCGAAATTATAGAAATCTCCACAGCTAGAAAATGAAAAAATGATTTATTTTTAATAATTTTTTCGTTATTTAACAATTTATTTTCTTATATATAAAAAAGGATTATATCTTAAGGACCTTTAAAAGAGTTTTTTTTAATTGCAATAAAGGTATGGACGAAAATTTTTAAATTATATACCTCCAAAGGTCCCAAACTTGGCAAAAACAAACTTTATATTTATGTTATTATTAAGAGGAGAGATTAATATTTTTTATTATTTTATTACATTTTTTTTAAATGCTTTCTAGCACGTTAGAAATTTTGCTTAAATATTTTGTTTTTCTTGCGTCAGCGGAGTCAGCAAAGATTATTATAGGAAATTTACCGCCTTTTTTCCGGTAAAAAACACATTGTTTTGGAAGTTCTTGAAAAAAATCAAATAATTGTCGGATTTTAATGGAACTTTCATGACGTATTCACAAATGAATGAAATTATTTTGGAAATTTTTTTTAAAAAAATCTGGGTAGAAATATTTTTTACATCTGTTAAGCCCACGTTACTTAATTAAATTTCGAGAAATTAAATTGTATCCAGGTTCATATTTATATTAGTTAAAAGCAGGACTTGTTGGAAAATGTAACTCATCAAACTTTTCAAATAGTAGCTCATTTACCGAAAATTTTGTGAATCGTAAAATAAAAAATGCAATCAAATTAAGATTTAGATTTTTTTAATTGTCTGTATGAATAAAATAGAATATGAATACTATTGGGTTAAGAAAAAATTTCGATGAATAATGAAATTTTACAAAATTATTTTCTTTTCTTTTTAATTTTAATTAAAATAATTTATAAAGTTTTAAATCTTTTAAATTTCTATACGGTTTAGGTAATATTGTTATTAAGTAAAAACTATATTTAGTAATCATAAATTGAAAAGCTTAGTACAAATTATCACGCGGCAATATTTTTAAAACTGTTTTGATTTTTTTTGTATAAACATGTCGATTTTCTATTATACGGTCGACCATACGCAACACTATCAGAAAATCAGAGCAATAACTATAGTAAATTTATAGCCCCAAAAAAATTAAACTTCGATAAAACATTAGACTACGGAGAATATTTTCTTAAATTTTTAAGATTACTGAGTACTTAAAAATTATATATAGGAAGTGTTCACGTTAATTCAATTACCTTTTTAACGTGTAAATTTCCACAGAACAACATTAGATAAATATCAATATTTCATCAAGCTATCAAACTCGCGAACGAATTAAATAAACAGCTATTGTCGGGTTAAAAAAAATTCATTTTGCGATATTTTAAACTTAAAGTAAATAAAGTTGTTTCAAATCAGATTAAATATATTTGAAACTTGCTAATATTCATTAAATAAAGTTTCAGAAAAGTATAATGTTTTTGGAAAATTTTTAATAAAGATGAAAGAGATGAAAGATGAATAAAAAAGGCGATCATCAGCTATTTTAGCAAAAGTAACAAAAAAAAATTCCAGTCAATTTAGTTTATTTTTAAATTAGCTTTTGAAATACAGGAAAGTATTTTGCTTATTGGAAATATTAATTTAGTCTATTAGCTTGAAATTAAAACTAAAATAAAAGTAAAATTTTTCATTTTTCAAAATTCATTTTAAACTTTAAGTATCGCGTTTTTTGTATTATATGTGTGTGTGTGTGTGTTTGTATCTCTATGTGTGTGTATATGTAAAAAAAGAAGTTAGATCAATAAGTTCCTAGTTTAACATGGAATTATAAGAAGAATTTTCATCTGAAAATTTTACTGTATAATTTTCAAACTCTGTGATTAATATTCACCACTGAATTAAGGGAGATTAAAGAGATTTTATTGAAAAATAATTCTCTGATACGTTTTTTCTATCCTCAGGCTACAGATTAATTGGCACATACACACAGACACACACACACAAATATATATATATATATATATATATATATATATATATATATATATATATATGCAGAAGTGTACGGAAAGGTTCTCAGCGCAATCCACTTCCCAAAATCTGGCTAAATAACCATAAATCTGATCTTGTGGTGAAGGGTTTCTTGGTCCGGCCGATAACTTTTCAGTAGAAACTCGCATATATATATATATATATATATATATATATATATATATATATATATATGTGTGTGTGTGTGTGTGTGTACGTATGTGCGTGATTTGCTAGATAAAAGATAATCATATGCACGTAACCGTATGTAATTGTAACAGAATATATCTACCTGTATGTGCAAGCGCATAAATATATTTGCATTTATGAGTATTCATCCTTTGTACATATACATGGATAAGTAAATACATGGATGTCGGGTGTTGTCGCATTTTATTCTGATGTGTCATTTGAGATGGAATATTTCTTGATTTGTAAAAAGAGGAAAAATAACAATAGAAAAGGAGATTATTAGCATCGAATGAATTTTTATATTTTTTGTTATCCATATTTTGTATTTGTTTTATTTTCCTGTTTTCACTGGTCGCCAAGCAAATGGAGACGAATCGAGAATGACTCTGCAAATGAGAGTTTCCCGCCGAAATCAAATGATAGCGACCAGCGATTACAATCGTCAACTTGAGAAAGCAGAGAGCAAAGCTATCGTTACTGTATTTTCGCTCGACGCCAACCATTTCGAATGCACATAAAAGACAAAAAAAAAAAAAAAGAATCAAAACAAAACATCGACAAGAGTTTCGGAAAGAAATAAGGCCAAATAAAGACGATATCAATAAATAATTTGTGTTTTCATTTGGTTTTAAGTTGCAAGTAAGATGGCAGCCGCCACTCAGTATTAACAGGGTGTGTGCAGAATGGCAGCGTTTCCAGGGCTAATCGAAAGGAACAATCTAACAGGCACGTAAGTAAATGAATAAAAGTATCGATTGAGAGAAAAAAGAATGAATGAAAAAGAACAGAAATAAGGGTAAATGATACGTGTGAAAAGTAAAAAAGGAGTCGAGGGAAACGGTAATATTTGACACAATGGCCGGGCAGATTGATATGACACAGGGAAAAAGGAAGGGAAGAGGCATGGAAAAAGGAAGAGAGTAAGAAAAGACGAGCGAAAAGTATGAGAAGTATGAGAAAGCTAGAAGAAGAAAATGAAAGATGATGGGAGAGTAAAAAAGCATCACGGAAAAAAAAGAAGGAAGAGAATAAAAATGGCAGGGGAGAGAAGGCAAAAAAAAAGAGAAAAGTAAAGGGGAAAGACATAAGAGAAAAAAAGAGGAGAAAAAATAGGACAAAGAATAAAAATGAGGAAAAAAAGAAAGAAAAGCAGATGAACGCGATAAATAAGAAGCCGAAAAAGATAAGTACAAAAGAAAGATAGCGAGAAAGAAAATCGAAACAATTTTTCAAGAGGAAAAGGAAGAACGTCAACATTAAAAGGGATACAATTTTTTTTTTATATTTAGGGACGAGAGTCACAAAGGAAAAGAAAAATCGCAAAAAAAATGGAGAGAAAAGAAAAAATGAACAATGAGGAGGAAAGAAGAAAGGAGAGTTAAGACGAAGTGAAAAATGTAAATGAAAAAAAAAGATAGTGAAGAAAATAAAGAAAAACAGTAAAAAAAAGAAAAAAGAGAATTAGACATTCATTTTCATTTATTCCTTCTCCATCTTCACGAGCCAAAAGATTTGTCAATAGCAAATTGCAAGAAAACGAAGTAGTGTTTGTAAATCAATTCGTTGCCAGATGCTCAACTGAATATTATCAGCCCTATTTGTTTAAGATTATAAGAACAACTTGCTTATTATATGTGCATTCTTGTGAATGACTGTCAACACCAACGAACCGACATCTTGGGGGTGGGAGAGTTGCGTACGTAGAGGAATAGACAGAGGTTAAAAAAGAGCCGTTTATCTTTCCACTATGACTTGCCTCTGCCTCTGGCACTTCGTCATTTGAATGGGCGGGTCTTTCGTCACCCTGTCCTCCCTTAACCTGAGACACACATGAACACGCCCAGATGACAACAAAATTAAGCATATATTCTGTTACAAACAAGATGTATGACACACACAGACACAGCTATATATATATATATATATATATATATATATATATATATATATATATATAAGCAGTAGGAAAAAGTTGATTGTAATTTTTCTTATTAAAATAAATGTTTTTAGTCTATGTCTTTGAAATAATAGTTCATTTATAACTTTGCATATATACATACATACATATATATATATGTGTGTGTGTGTATATATATATATATATATATATATATATATATATATATATATATATATATATATATACAGTCCGTCTTAAGTTATTAAGTTAATCACAGAAAATTCAATAGATTGAATTTGCTTTGAACAATTAACACCAAATTTCAAGAAATAATTTAGTCATACAACAAAGCTTGGTTTAAATTTTTAAGTAGTTTCAACATGTTTTATTAAAGTTATTGAATTTAGTATAAAATTGCTGCCTAAACGTATTATGCAGATTAAACTATTAGTTTAGGGCTTCTGAAATCTAATCTATTTCCATAATCTATGTTGACACAAGGGCAATGGAAAGGATCTAACAAATGGTGAAGAACAGAAAATAACACAGTTATTGAGTGAACGAACATCGACATTGGAGGTATCAAAGGGTTTTCGCAAAGTTCATAGAATTATAAAGAGGACTAATTAATTTGAGAACTAGGATCAAAAGAAAATGTTTTTGGGACTTGTCACTCCGAGGGGGGAATGTAAACTAACGCTAGAGAAACAACCACTTTTGGCCAGTGCTCCGATAATTGATCAAAGCTGGAATTGAGGGAATCAAGAATGACAGAATAATTCACAAATTGGGATTCATCAAGAAATCTGCTGGTCAAACACTTCCCAGTAAAACAAATATTTTAAAGCGTGTCAAAATTGGACAAGAAATACAAGGAGGAGGTAGTGTCATAATATGGGCTGGGATTGTCGACTTAAATATTACTGAACAATCCAAAGTCAGAGAAGGAACAGTGCTAGTCTTTGCAATTTCATTAGCAAGACTTTCTTTGAATGGTCCCAACCTCACACTTTCAAAGTGATGTGTGTATTTATTCACGACAATGCTCCTTCTCGTGTATCTAAGGTTACCCGCAAATTTGTGAGCGTCAAAGGTTTACAGGAGAAAAGATAATAGAATGGCCACCATCAAGTCCCGATCTAAATCTGGTTGAAAATCTATGGTCAATTGTGAAAATTAAATTATATGAAGATGGAAAACAATATGACAGCATGCCTCTGGGAAGCAATGAAAACTACAATGTTGGAAATTGAACCTGTTGAAGTAAAAGAAATTAACAAAATCAATGGATAATAGATTGCTGACTGTTATTAAGAAGGGTCACTATAAGTAAATGGTTCAAAGTCTTATCATATATGTTTGTTACTTGTTCTATTATAGGTGTTCAAAATATATTCAAAGCAAATTCGAACTATTGAGGCTTTTGTGATTTGTATAATAAATCAAAAGAACTCTACAGTGACAAGCATAAGAAATAATTTTATTAAAGATCAATTAATTTTTACTATGATTTTTTCAGTATTCAAACTGTGGTCATCCAGGACTGTATTGAAAATTGTTGCATTCATGGACCCAGTGGAAGGAGAGATAAAGTTAGGAGGAAATCATATGAGCCACTAGTTGGAAACTGCTTTTAATGGTGGGCAAAAAATGAAAATTGCTCAAAATAAATTTAATTATATACGGAGATTAAAAGTCCTAGTTAGTATTTAGCATGATTCTCATGCTTCTGAGAAATTTGACGTTTCATTGAAAATACATTTGATTACGCGTTTCGCCATTCTAGGCTTCATCAGATCTTTGAAAAGAAAGAAATGCGTGTATGTTTATTTGAATGTAATTAACTAATGAATCCTAGTACTTTTTCTGCAAGTTGACGTTTCTCCTGATTAAAGAATAAAGAGAGCGACTCAAAAAAACAGTATATATTTATTATGTACCTTATATATATATATATATATATATATATATATATATATATATATATATATATATATATATATATATAAGCGTTCATTTTAATTCAGTCAACCACCAAACAATCAAAGGCCTTCTGTTTGAATTTCTTTATTAAGAAATTATACTTATTTACATTATTTGCAGTCGAACAATAGTCATCATCTTTGTTGTTATTATGACAACGTTTCAGTCGTTATAGTCTCCGGCCTAGTCCCAGGGATCGGTTTTCAAATTCAGATCATAACCAGAATTCATGATTTTCAAATCCGACAGACCGTCTCTCTATATAAGCTTTTCTTCGACATATGTGAGTTTTGTACCAATATTCTCACTAGTGCCAGCAATCGGAAGAAGAAAACAATACCAATATCTTCAATGGCGATTTTCAAATGCAACAAATTACTCAGCACTTATTTTTAATAAACACATTACTTAGAATGATTACTTCGCTACTTATGTAAATGTAAAACCAGTCTTAATTGGCAATAATATAAATGAAAGATGATTATAGTCAACTGCCATTTATTGTTGGGCACTTCGACGTGGTGTAAATCAGCTTGATCAGTTACGATTGAGTAGTGAGTTAGTTTCTCATTCGGTGCTCCATACTTTTGGCCTTGTGCCACATCTAATCTACACCTAGAAAATTGCTACAAAGGCATTGTTGATTATTTACGGCTAATTTGTTTAAATGATGAACTAGTGTTTGCGCCACGTAGCAATAATTCTAAGTAAAATGATGTACTGAAATAAGTAAGCAAGTAATCGTTTTAAGTTCTCTGAATATCGGTGCTATTTTCAAATCAGGCTGGTTGCCCCATCTGAAAGATTGACGCAATACAATCTTCTTACCCGGTATCCCCATCCACTTTTAGTCTCTGTGCTGAATTAAGTTTATGCTAAATAACAAGTAAATTTTTCTTTATCTTGACGGATAACTTATAAACACGGGATTAGTTAAATGAATAATACCTTCCCCTTACCAGTATATGTAATATGGCTCGTTTGCCTAGTACAATTAATTCGTTTCAATATATGATAAAGATTGCATGCTAACCATTGCTTTAAGCAAGGTATTTTACTTATTTTTTTTTTATGAGTAAACCAAATGTTTTTCTGTTTCTCAGTCTGTACTGAAATAAAATTAAAAATTAATTCTAAATTAGAATTTTATAATTTTGGAAGATCGTCGAACGTCAATCATTTCACTGCAAAAAGCCTTACACGACAACGCATGCAAGATGACAACTTCGTCATTAATGTTCCCATTAAATATATTCGATCGTTATAGCAATTACATACTTAAATTCTGTCTATAACAATATAGGCACTCAGTGAGGATCAAACGCACTAGCATGTTATTACTCTTAGATCTGGTGTGTCTAATCAGGCGTTCTTTCTTCATGAATTGTTGATATCACTAATGTGGTTAAATAACTGGTCAATTATTATAATTAGCAATTTCTTATTTTAAATGAAATTTTAGTGTAAATGTCACATGAACAAGCAAGATTAAATATGCCTAATATTTTTATAAAAAGTAAGTTAAAAAGAATTTCATTGTTGAATAAATTAAGGATATTCAAAAACAAATTACGTTATTCTGACACCTGCCGAGATGATCAGATTAAAATACCCATTGCAGTGATTTCGATCCTTACTGATTACAACAGAAATGTAACTTCGTGTTTGACTATACTAGGAAAATAACTGCTGTTCGATTTCCGCAACTAAAGGGTCGAAATTTTAACACAAAGACAAACACAGAACCAAATAAATGAATTATAGTTTACATTAACTGCTTCTCTCATCGAACCGCACGATAATTCTATTTCATATTATCCGATTCAATTAGATGCATCAACGGTAATTAATCTATTCCCACCTAATATCCTTCATCCACTCACCCCGAAAATACATATTGACGTTTACCATTTTTTCACTCAGCATTTGGTTATCACCAGTGAAAAGCATTAACACCATTTAAGCAAATAACAATGAAAAAGTTTTAAATTATATTAAATTATTCAACTTTATATATATATATATATATATATATATATATATATATATATATATATATATATATATATATATATATATACACTGGCCAATGGAGCATTACGGGTAGCAAGGTCAGATATTTTCGGTTTATTTTATTATGCTAACGGTTATATTCAATGGGTGTTGAGTTTAAATAATTATGGGTCAGAATGCAATCATTTCTACTTATTACATTGTTTGTTACTTTATAACCCATAATGTATTATTGATTACTTTGTGTATATTATATTGAATCATTAATTATTTGTTATTTATTATTATTTAATATATCCGCGTTCATTTTTTTAAATTTATTATTAACTTAGTTTGTTAATTTATTTATTTATTATTTTGA